GTTATATTTGGGAATTTCGGGCATACAGAATTTTTTGGGGATTGGTTTTGGGGCCGCGCTCGAAGGAAAAGGCTTTTGTATGAATTTTTTTGAATCGAGCCCTTTTATTACTGGCGGAGCCCCCAAAATTTGATCGACCCTAGCGTTATACGTTTCCACTTTTTTGTCGTTGGCTTCGACTCGCTTTGTGAGTTCCTCGAGCAATTTAGCAATTTCAGGAGCGGTCCCCGATTCCTGCTCGTTTGATTTCACTACGGCGGGTTCCGCTCTGGGGGTGACTTCTCGAAGAAGCGGATTGGAGTTTGGCCTGCTTTGCGTATGAGTTCGGCTCTGCAACTGAGCTATCGTTGCATGTTGATCTTGTAACATTTCAAAAATCATACGCAAGCTGACCCCGATTTCCCCCGTGCTGTAGGTGTCTCGGGCTATGGATCGAGCACCACCCTGAACGCTTCTTTTCGGTTCAAAACGCTGATTCGCTTCTAGAGCTATTTGCGAATTGATATCCAGTGGTACTTCGGCTCGAATTTCGGGTTCTTCGATTCGAGCCTCGTTGTCGTTGTCAGGTAGCCTTCCGGCCCCGGGCACCAAGTTGTTGGTTTCATCTTAAAGGCCGGCTTCGAGGTCGATAGGTAGAGCCATTGCTGATTCGAAGTTGTAAGGTGGAGTGTACTGTAGATTTATATCAAACAACCACTGTTACCCTTAGCCCCACGGTGGGCGCCAAACTGTTTACCCGAAAAATCTGATAACGTTAAATTTAGATATGGTTCTAAGGGTATGCAAATTTCTTTGATACAAAATGACAATACAGGTATTTTTTGCTATGAAATGGGAATGATGGACGGGAAGACTCGAAAATATTAGGAGAACAAGCACAATGAAATCTTAATGTATTTTATGAGGACCTTGTCTATTGCAGTCTATCTCCCTTTTTATAGTAGAGGGTCATTACTTTGTCTATAACAACATAATAAAATAATACATATAGTGGAGAACCTATGATGGTTTGTCTCTCCCTTGATTCTCGCCAAGATTCTCTCCCTTGGTGCGGTTGTAACGGCTCTTGTCTGCGAGCTTGGCACTGACTCGAGCTCGGTGCTAGATCGAATCCCCAGTCTTAGTTCGAGCTCGGTTCTGCCTTGGAGCATCGATATTCGGGGCCTGTGTCGATCGGCGTTGCCCCGTAGTCCGATTCGGACGCGGGCTCGATAATGATATCGAGTTTTGCCGTTGATTGATCTTATAGCTCGAAGCTCGACGTCTCTACTTCGGAATTTGTCCGAGCTTGCCATGTGGATACCCTTCGATTGAAACGTCATTGTCTCAACCGGTCTTTATGACCAAGAATCGGTTTTGACCATACACAAACGTAGCACTGAGATATAGTAATTAACAAGAATAAAATAGTAACAACGATACCAAGATTTTTACGTGAAAAACCCTTTTGAATAAGGGAAAAAACCACGCCCCAAGACGAGCAGCTAATATCACTATAGCAAGGAATTTTACATTTTGTAGGTCCGAGTAAAATACTCCAAAGACCACTACAACACTCAAAAGAAATAATCCTCTTTTGATATTCTCACCTTACTACAATATCGCTCGCTCTCTATTTTTCTCACAGACTATTTCCTTATACCTTGTCTGTGAAACATCACTCTTTCTTTCTCTCTTTGTTGGTGTGTAGAAATGATAGCTGAAGCTCTCCTTTTATAGCCGAAGTCTCACTCTCTAAAGCCTACTATATTTGACAATTTGCACACACTTTTCCTTCTTTTTTCTTCAATGTTGACAATTCAACAAAGTTGGCTACCAAACCAAAGAAATTTTCCTTAGGCACATGCCTATTACTTTGGCTTTTGAATGAGATGAACCCTATCAATCTCCCCCTCCAGTCTCATTCATCTAGAGGAGGTAGCACTGTCTTCTAGTTTGAGTGCATGCCGATAGGTTCTTTGCATAGCTCAAACCTGTCTCTTGGTACTACCTTGGTCAACATATCAGCCGGATTTTCACTCGTGTGAATCTTTTGGACCTGTAAAGATTCGTTCTCCACCTGCTCACAAATCCAATGATATCCCACATCTATATGCTTTGTTCTTGCATGGTACATGGAGTTCTTGCTCAAGTCTATTGCACTTTGAATGTCACAATAGACAACATACTCCTTTTGATGCAATTCCAGCTCTTGAAGAAACCGCTTGAGCCATACCATATCCTTGCCAGATTCTGTAGCGCCAATGTACTCTGCTTCAGTTGTTGAAAGTGCAACACACTTCTGCAATTTAGACTACTATGATATAGCTCCCCCTGAAAAAGTAAATAGATATTCAGTAGTGGATTTTCTATTATCAGTATCACCGGCCATATCAGCATCCGCGAATCCCTTCAAGATTGGATCAGATCCTCCAAAACACAAGCAATATCCTACAGTACCTCTTAGGTACCTGAGTATCCACTTGACTGCTTCCCAATGTTCCTTTCCAGGATTTTTAAGGAATCTGATAACAACACCAACTGCATGAGCAATATCAGGTCTGGTGCATACCATTGCATACATCAAGCTTCCGACTGCTGAAGAATAAGGAACTCTAGCCATGTTCCCTTTCTCCTCCACTGTTGTAGGAGACATCTTCCTGCTCAACTTTAGATGACTAGCAAGAGGTGTGCTGACTTGCTTAGCATTCTTCATGTTGAAGCATTCCAGTACACGTTTAATGTACTTCTCCTGAGACAACCACAACTTTCTGCTTGTTCGCTCTCGAACTATTTTCATACCCAGAATTTATTGTGTTGGGCCCAAGTCCTTCATATCAAATGACTTGGACAAATCTCTCTTCAACTTTATGATCAGCTCTTTGTCTTTTCCTTCATTTAACATGTCATTCACAAACAACAACAAAATAATAAAGTTGTTGTCAGAAATTTTTTTGAAGTATACACATGGATCATAATATGTCTTTGTGTAAGTTTCATGAATGAGTCAAACTTTTTGTACCATTGTCGTGGTGCCTGCTTCAACCCATAAAGACTCTTATTCAGTTTGCACACCATGTGTTTTCTTTCAGCTACTTCAAATCCTTTTGGTTGCTCCATATAGATCTCTTTTTTCCAAATCTCCATGAAGAAATGCAGTTTTCACGTCCAACTGCTCCACTTCAAGATCTAGGCTAGCTGCTAAGCTCAAGATTGTTCGAGTAGAAGTCATTTTGACAACATGTGAGAAAATTTTGTCAAAATCAATACCTTTCTTCCGTTCGAAGCCTTTTACCACCAATCGAGCTTTGTATCTGACCAGCTTGCCATTTCCATCTTTCTTGAGTTTAAAGACCCATTTGCATTTGAGTGGTCTTTTTCCCTTTGGAAGTTCAACCAACTTGTACGTGCCATTTTTTTGCAGTGATTCCATCTTTTCTTGCATGACTTTCATCCACTTGTTCTTTTCTGGATGGGACAACACCTCCTTAAAACTTTTTGGCTCCCCTTCATCACTGGTGAGGACATACTCTGTGGAAGGGTACCTACATGACTCTACCCTTGGCCTCTCTGATCTCCTCAGAGGTTAAGGTTGTTTTTCTTCCTGAGTGGGGTGCTCCACTTGCTTGACACCATCATCAAGTTGCTCCCCCTGCTCAATAACCTCACCAGGTTGCTCCCACTGCTCGACAACATCGTCGGTCCTACTTTCTGCACTTGTGGGATTGTTAGAAGTAGAAAGAATAGTAACAAGGTTAGGAATTATACCATTCTTGTCCTTCTCTGGCATATCATCAGCAGTTCCAACTTCACTTTCTCGGAAGACTACATCTCTGCTTCAGATGACCTTCGTCTTTATAGGATCCCACAATATGTATCCGAACACTTCATCTCCAAATCCTATGAATATGCAGGGAACAAATTTATCATCCAGCTTTGTTCTCTGCTCCTTTGGTACATGTGCAAAAGCTCTGCAACCGAACACCTTCAGATGCGAGTAGGACACCTCCTTGTTAGTCCAAACTCTCTCTGGGATGTCAAACGCCAACAGAACTGATGGACTCTTATTGATCAGGTAACATGCCGTCTGAACTGCTTCACCCTAGAATGAGTTAGGCAGTTTAGCCATTATGAGCATGCTTCTCACCTTCTCCACAATGGTGCGGTTCATCCTTTCGGCTACGCCATTGTGTTGTGGAGTTCCAGGAACTGTCTTTTCATGTCTGATACCATGGCTCGAACAGTACTCTTCAAATTCCCTTGAAGTGTACTCACTTCCATTGTCACTTCGGAGACGCTTTAGCTTTTGGCATGTCTCCATTTCCACCATAGCATGAAACTTCTGGAAAACTTGAAACACCTGATCTTTGATTTTCAAAATATAAATTCATAATTTTCATGAAGCATCATCAATAAAAGTAACAAAATATTTGTTACCGCCCATCGATTCAATTTTCATTGGACCACAAACATCAGAATATACCAAATCAAGTATATTCAATTTTCTTTCAGCCGATATTTGAAATGAGACTCTATGCTACTTTTCAAATAAACAGTAGTCACAAGGTTTTACTGTTGTACCTTTGGCATAAGAAATAAGTGATTTATTGGCAAGAATCTACAATCCCTCCTCGCTCATATGGCCCATTCTTTTGTGCTACAAATCTATAAAAATCTCATCTTGCGCCGCGTTCAATTCACCTTGGCATATTTCTGCATTTGTCCTGTACAACATGCCACGAGCAACTCTCTTTACAATCACCAATAATCCCTTGGTGAGTCTCCACTTTTGATTTGCAAAATAGTTCTTGTATCTATCTCAGTCTAAAGCAATTCCCGAGAGCAAGTTCATCCGTAAATCAGGTACATGTCGCACGTCCTTCAGAACCAATGTGCATCCGACATTTGTCTTGATACAAATATCACCAATCCCCGCAATCTTTGAGTAACTTGTGTTACCCATTCTCACAGTACCGAAATCACCTGCTACATATCTGCAAAAAAGATCTCTAACCGGTGTGGCATGGTAAGATGATGTTGTATCAACCACTCATTCTGACTATGGACCTAATAAGTGCATGCATTCCTCTTCCTCATTTATAAAGAGGACAACATTATCATTGTTTTGCCCCATGGCGGTTATGTTGTCGTCATTCTTCTGGCCACTAGTTTCACCTTTTCCCTTCCTTGGATTTGAGCAATCTCTTTTGAAGTGACCTAGTTGATCATAATTGTAGCAATTTCTAGCTCTTGATTTGGATCGGTTCTTAGACTTCCTACGAGCTCCGGATCTACCATAGTTGCTCGAACTCTTTTGAAAACTACTGCCTCTACCTTCTGTGATGAGAGCATGTCCTTGATTTTCAGGCTTCTTTCTCATCTTCTCATTGAGTAGAAGAGCCGATGTGACGTCTTTTAACTCAATGGTAGTCTTACCGTACAGGATAGTTGTTGCCAAATTATCGTACGAAGATGGCAACGAGTTCAATAGCAAGATGGCTTTATCTTCTTCCTCGATTTTCACTCCGAAGTTGGCGAGCTATGTGATTAGTCCGTTAAACACATTTAAATGTAACAAAAAATTCGTACCTTCATTCATGTGTAGGGCATATAACTGCTTCTTCAAGTACAATTTATTTGTCAGCATTTTGGACATGTATAGGCTTTCCAACCTTGTCCAAACTCCACGTGCGGTGTCTTCATCAATGATATTATTTACCACATCATCTGATAAGTGCAACCTGATTGCACTAGCAGCCCTTTCATCCAAGTCAGCCCAATCCTCAGCTTTCATTGTATCAGGCTTTTTGTCATCGGCATCAAGTACCTTGTGTAATCCTTATTGAATGAGCAGATCCTTCATCCTTCTTTGTTATGTTGAGAAACCGTTATCTCCGTTGAATTTTTCTACCTCGTACTTTACTCCAGATATTTTTTTTTCACCGAGTATAGTATTACCGATAGTGAATAGTGCTTCTGTGAACGAGCAGAACATGTGCTCTGATACCAGTTATTGAGAATAAACCCCCACATAAAATAATATTCACGGTAATAAAAGCGGAATAATAACGTAGCACTGAGATACAGTAATTAACAAGATTAAATAGTGACAACGATACCAAGATTTTTACGTGAAAAACCCTTTTGAATAAGGGAAAAAACCACGTCCCGAGACGAGCAACTGATATCACTATAGCAAGAAATTTTACTCTTTGTAGGTCCGAGTAAAATACTCCAAAGACCACTACAGCACTCAAAAAAAATAATCATCTTTTGATATTCCCAACTTACTACAATATCGCTCGTTGTCTATTTTTCTCACAGACTATTTTCTTATACCCTGTCTGTGAAATATCACTCTTTCTTTCTCTCTTTGTTGGTGTGTAGAAATGAGAGCTGAAGGTCTCTTTTATAGCCGAAGTCTCACTCTCTAAAGCCTATACTATATTTGACAATTTGCACACTTTTCCTTCTTTTTTTCTTCAATGTTGACAATTCAACAAAGGTGGCTACCAAACCAAAGAAATTCAACAAAGTTGGCTACCAACCCAAAGAAATGTTTCTTAGGCACATGCCTATTATTTTGGCTTTTGAATGGGATGGTCCCTATCACGGAGCTCTCCCATTTCCTCTTGAAAACCGCCGCATTATAACCAAAATTTCTCAAATATGCCATTACATTCCTCTGGAGTATCGATTTATTCGATTTTGCACATGAAAACACTTCCAATGCCTTAGCAATGCAAGACGCCAATACATTACGGTACAAATCGAGATCCGCTTTGAAGTTATGGTCTTTCTAAGTGGGTGTAGCCAGTAGTTCTTTATTCCCTACATATAATGACCTAAGTGTAATTTGTGGGAGAATAGGCCCACTATTATCTTGGTCTTGCATTGCTTCAAAAGGAACAGTATGCTGAAGGTGTGAGAGAATTGGAAAAGGTATAAACATCATCTCTTACAGATGTTTAAATACTGTCTTGCGACTGTCCATGCTTCACATTGTTACTTAACACTTCTTTGGCAGTGCCATTCTGAGGTGTCTACTCTGTATACAAATAGCCTCTGTTTGTTTGAAAGTTTAGGCTTCAGTCCTAATTGTTATGAAAATGTCAACGTGACAAAGTAGGTATATTTCTCCTTATAATTTTGTCATTTCTTATACATTCTTACTTTTGCTATTATTGTTTCCTTTTCATGCTCTTAGTATATTAATCCAAATGCAATTCTGTAATTAGGGATGTAGCGCGGTTGCTATTGTCACTGCTCATTCTCAATAGTTTTAACATATGAAAGTTAGCAGGCCTGATTGTCATAAATCAAGTTTTGTGAACCTTTTATCATTTCATTGGTTTATTTTCTGAGTCTCCATTTTCCATAAAACTGCCTTAAGTTCAAACTTAACTAAACTTGATCTAATTTCACCCTTATGCGTTTAGCTAAGTGATCTGATAGAAACCAGAAGTAGATAACAGAATAAATAGAACAAAGAAGTTAATATTATTGGCAATAGTTTGTGCAAGAATCTTAAATACAACTACACCAATAAAGTTGTCCGTATGGAAAGGACAATGTTCCAGAATAAAGTAGTTTTGGTTCTGATAATGATACCTACACATTACAGGATCTATTACTTATATAATAGGCTGATCATAACTACTACATAACCTATTAGGATAAAGATAAAATAACTTCTAATAACCATAATAAAACTGCTAAACAGATAATAACTGAAAGCTTCAGGAATTATTTTCTCCTAAATCTTTGCTTCTTCTGGAAGATACATGGCTTATCAGTAAACCCCTCCTGGAAAGACGACTTGTCCTCAAGGCAAAATTTGAGAAATTGTGCCCACATCAGTAGGAAACATGTCATTTTTGTCTTATCCTTCACAATCAGTGTGTCATTCTCTTCTTGCATCAACTCCAGATGAGAAAAAGTCCCAGGTTTGCAGCAATGACTAGGGCTAAACCTTTCTCCACAACCATAGCAAAGGCCTTTGTCTCGCCGAATTTATTGTTCATGAGTCAACGGGCGAGTGTTGGGAAGTGATGGTGGTTGAAAAGGACGTGTAACTGGTTGGCGGGATGGCAGAAAAGCGAAGGATTCTCGGGCCACTAGAGATGATGTCCTAACCAAAGGAGGTCGTGATACAGAAGGCAAAGTGGGTGCCTTACTGGACCGATTAGGTCCCTGTTTTCCTTCATATTCTAAAGCCAGGCTCACTGTCTTGTACACAGATCGAGTTTTGTTAATCCTAACGTCCACGTAAAGGTCTTCTTTCAGCCCACTGAGGAAAACTCCAAGCAAACAGTGTTCTGGCCAATTTTGCACATGCGCTGCTCGTTTTGCAAATTCTTGCCTATACTCAAACATTGTTCCAGTTTGTTGGATATCACAGAGATGTTCATCAGGGTTTTAAAACTCAGTAGGTCCGTAATTTTCTTGCATTACTTTCACCAATTCGTCCCAATAGTAAATGGTTTGCTCACTGTTGATCCAAGTGAAAAGATCCAATGCATCTCCTTCTAAGTACATCGAAGCCATATCGACCTTGCATTCCTCATAAGTTTGATAGTACTGGAAATACTTCTCTGCTTTTAAAATCCAGCCTCTAAGATCTTCTCCCTCATAATTTGAAAATTCCATCTTTGTCTGTGAGCACTACAAAATTTCTCGTTGCCAAGTGCTATTAACCTCACCCTCTTCTGGTATGGCTTTAGCTTTCCTTTTATTATTGTGATCTCCATCGTGGTGTGCTTTTAATGTGGCCACATCAGCGGCTAAAGCATCTATGGCTTCCAATTTCGTTGTTATAGTCGTCAATTGTTGGGAAATCGGGTCAAGAGTAGGAATGGTGGGTTCACTTTGGGAAGCGTTGGTCTGTGTGTTCACCGTGGCAGATCTTACTGCTCTGATACCAAACTGATGGAAACCAGAAGTAGATAACAGAATAAATAGAACAAAAAAGTTAATATTATTGGCAATAGTTTGTACAAGAATCTTAAACACAACTACACCAATAAAGTTGTCCGTATTGAGAGGACAATGCTCCTAAATAAAGTAGTTTTGATTCTGATAATGATACCTACACATTACAGGATCTATTACTTATATAATAGGTTGACCGTAACTACTACATAACCTATTAAGATAAAGATAAAATAACTTCTAATAACCATAATAAAACTGCTAAACAGATAATAACTAATAAACGTCTAATAACTGAAAGCTTCAGGAATTATCATCTCCTAAATCTTTGCTTCTTCTGGAATATACGTGGCTTATCAGTACACCCCTCCTGGAAAGATGACTTGTCCTCAAGGTGAAGTTTGAGAAATTGTGCCCACATCAGTAGGAAACTGATCTTGCCGAAATCACACCTCAGTTTGGGTTGTGAAGCGGCCAATTGCAATAATAATATCCAACTAGAAGTCAGGATCGAATCCACAGGGAGCGTAGATGGGATTAGGTATATATTTGGACTAAGCACGTAAAGTGTCTAAGATGCACTTCCAAAAATTGTGTTTTGATTCTACTTCTAAATTAAGCTACGGTTTGCAAATGTAAAGCTAGAGAATAATATTTTTTGTGTTGTTTTTCAAGTATGTAAAAGATCTAGGGTTGTGACTTCCACTTAGGTATTTTCCTAACGGGTTGTGGGCTTTAGGGCAGGTTTGGTAGGCTGGGGTGTAATATAACAATCAACACGTAATTACCCACTCAATACCTTTCGGTAATAGAGTGGTTTTGACCCAATTTAGCTTTCTCAAGTCCAAATGGGTAATTCGCAAAATAGTTGATAGATGCTCAAGTCGGGTTTTACTATCTCTAGATTCAACCCTTTAATTGGGACTATCAATTTCTTGAGTTCACCCAAATTTCTTGTTAGCCAAGTTTTTCTAGACTCGGTCTCTCTTTCTCAAGTAGAGACTAAGTCAAATAGGCTCAAATCAATATTTGCAACCATTAATTCTAGAATTAAAGCAAGAACTAGGCTAAATATTACACACCCAACCATAAACAAGCCCTCAATCAAACACCCAGTAGGTACCCACACTAGGATTGGGTCACAACCCTAGCTAGAAATTTAGCTACTCATAGATGAAAATGAAGAAATTAAAGAAGAATAGAAGATTAAACTCATATTCAATGACAAAGAAATAAATATCCAATGTAAAATAGACAAACTATCATAAAATTTCCTAAAGCAGTAAATAAAAATGGCTCCCAACTTTCAGATGTTCAAACTTAACCTAAATTTGACATAAAGAATTATTTATACACATCTAAAATTATCGGACAAAATTACCCCTGCGGAGGTTCTGCAGCCGCACAATTCTATGTGCGGTCCACACTTTGAAGTTGGTCTTGACAGGATGGACTTCTGCGGCCGCACAATTCTGGGTTGCGGCCGCAGGTCTTCAGATTCTGCGGACTGCATATTTTTGAGTGTGGCCGCACTCTTGAATTTGAGCTTGACATGAGGGACTTCTATGGACTGCACATTTTTGAGTACAGCCACACTCTTGAATTCTGCAGCCGCACAATAATAGTTTGGTCTGCATTTCTTCATGGACTCAGAACTCCATCTCTCTGAACCTCATCTTTTGCGGCCGCACAATAATTGTGCGGTCCGCACTTTGCAAAGGAATTCTGTCAGAGGTCCTTCATAGTCTGCGGCCGCACTCAATATTGTGCGGTCTGCACTTTGCTCTTTTTGCTTGGTTTTAGTCCTTGTCCAAAAATACTCCTTCTTGAGTTGAATTTCATCATTTTGGCTCTTTTTCCAATGCTCATGCAAGTAAGCACATTTTATCATTTTTTGGAAATACCTTTAAGCATTTTTGAGCTAAAACTAAAGTAAAAGAGTGCAAATAAGTAGTCAAAATCCCTACTTATCAACTCCCCCAAACGTAAGCTTTTGCTTGTCCTCAAGCAAATAAGGTAATTCTCACCTCCACAAGAAAAGATCTATTTCAGTTGGCCTAAGTTATATCAAACACACATCAATTGGGACCAACAATTACCCACACACTCATGAATTATCAACAAGGCCATGTTTTGAATGTTAAAGCACAAATAGCTCTAATGTGACACTTGAGCATTAAGAGTTGACTTTACTCATCAAGGAAGTTTTCACTTTTATGTAGGTCACTGTGGATCCCAAACTCCTCCTCCTATACTCTCCGTAAGCTCATCTCACTCAAGAATGTAGCACTCAGTTCAATGATTCGTGAATGGTTCGCTCATCACTCTCAAAAGAATGTTACAAGTACGGCTCTAAGTACCATATGTTTGCCCCTCATGTAGATCACCACTAATGTAAGCTTACTCGGCTTGAAATCACGTAGGGCTTTTTCGGCATGTAATGAAGGCTTTTGGACTAAGGAGGTAAATGTTGGAATGGAACGGGTTCATCTTTCCATTAGAACTCCATTTTCTCTTTTTGGCTCATACTTTGCCGACTCTTTGAGTCATTTTCTTTTTCCTTAGGGGAACTAGAGAGAACATCACTCTTTCTTGGTCATGATATCCATATTCTCCTTCTTTGTTTTCTCCATGCTTTGCACTTTTGCTTTCTTTTGAATCCTTTCAACCCTTCAAATTATTCATTTTCTTTTTGTGTTTTTCTTTTGTTCTTTATTTCTTTTTCTTTGCCTTTCCTTTTCTTTATTTCTTTTCTCTTCTTGTTCCTTGATACCACTTTCAAACTATTCATCTCTCCCCCAAACTTATGTTTTCATCATTTGTTTCTCATGAGTGCTAAGGAAAGCTCGGGTGCCAAGAAAGGGTCACTATAAAACGGGTAAAGGCTTGTAACATGGTTATCGAATGAAAAAGGCTTTAGGCTCAAAAGGGTTTACAAGGATAACATCATTGGTGGGCCATGGAAGTTTGAAAACGGGTCAAGGAGAGCCTACAATTACTTCTCAAGCTAAGCAAACTTAGAATTTCGCCTAGAAACACATTCGGGGCAAGTTCTAGATCATTCACACGGGTACTTGGACTTGTAACAAAATATCTCACTTCTCACACAACCGGATTGTTAAAGAGGATAGATTCGAGGTCCCACAACAATCGTATTCAAGATTGAAGATCGCTAATGGTTCAACTAAACCACCCGATGATTGCCTAAGTCAACAGAAGAGTCACAAGGTCACTAACTAGAGCCATTTCTTTCCAAAAGCTTGTTTTTAACCATAAGCGTGTAGTTAAGTGTGTTGGTACCCAGTGAAGCATGCTTGACCCTTTTTTTTATTCATTAACACTACTGTTTCTACCTAAACATCAAAAATGGACTCAATCCCTTAAGAAGGTTGTCACGCCATCTGTCGTTGGGAAGAGCCACCCGGTTCACACAAAACCCACCTTTGGAAAGAACTGTGGCATTAAGAAAAACCAAAGGCTTATTACTCACTTAAACATAAAAAGAAGCTACCGAATCAAAAAAAATCTATTAACATAAATAAGAAGCTAACCAACTAAGAAAATAAAATAAAGAAGCTATGAAATAAGCTACTGAAAGTAAGACAATTGAATATACAAACTGAGGGGAATAAAATATATACATCAAAAGAGAGGGAGGAATATATACATAATGAAAGAGAAAATAAAGATAAAAGAAAAATAGTATTAAAGTTATTACAGGCCAATGTCATCAAATCAAACCAACCAAAATAGACCACCCCCTGAATAAAAAAAGCATTATCCCCAATGCTTAGCAAAATCAAAATAAGAGAGGGTAGATACTAAAGAAAACTCCATACGTGGTCTCAGGGTGCATGGCAGCATCACCACCCTCGGGCTCCTCCAACTGGATCTCATCATCCTCTGCTCGGGGAACAACGGGGTTGGTGAACATCTGAAGCACCTCCTCGGTAGTATGAGCAGCAAGGTCTGGCTCGTCAGACTAGGCAGCTGGTGCCTCTGCTGATGGTGCTGCTGGGTCTGCTGGTACTGATGGATCTGTCTCCATCAGTAGGTCAAATGGTAAATCACAAGCTGCTGCAATCTTTGTCACCTCCTTTCTCAATCTCTCCACTGATTTCTTCGAGGCTTGGTATTTCCTCATCTTCTTCACCTGTTTGTCCAACTCCTCAATAGCTCCCTCATGTGCCGCCAATGTATCCATAATGGTCTTCTGGTTGTCCAGGATCTTATTCAATGTTTCCTCCACTAACGGAGGAACTTGTGGTGCTGCTGGTGTAGAATACTGTGCTGCAACAGCACTGGATATGTCAAACAGCTTTGAAGTAGCTGTCTGCATCCAGTTGTTGAGACTCGCCAATGTCTGGGAGACTTTCAGCACAGTGAGTGGATATGTGGATGAAGTAGGCACTGGTACTGATGGTCTAAAAGATGAAGGTGGTGGCATGTCAGTTGTCTCTATGGAAGGACCGGCTGTTGTAGAAGGCATAGGAGTTGTAGAAGGCTCAGTAGCTAACTCTGTAACCACCACCGATGGCTCATCAAATTGACCAACGGTGGTAGTTTCCTTACCCCTGAACTTTGGGTTTTCCGTACCTTGCAAGGAGTACCATGGGAAGGGCTTCTTGGCCTGCACTTTTGTATCAAAACTCCTCGGCTCCACTTTTGCATCTGTGATATATTATGTGAGGGTGTTGGGATATGGGTAGGAGCTTTCA